GTTGAACCATTAGGACAAACAATGAGGATGTTCAGTCTGACATGACCAGCCGCCCCAGGACCCACGTAGCTAACAGAGGGCTGGCACAATTACCATATGCAGTATGTTGCGTGGAAAGCTCTTACTGTAGATTTTACATGTCCTTTACCTTGTATTCCATTCTCATAGCCCCTTTAAAATGATAGTTATACTCCAGTTCTGTTGTCCACCATACACTAAAGTGAATAAGGAAAAGTAAAATGAGGTAAAGGGTCCAAGGGATAAAGGTGGTGGCACTTTATGTTTAGCCACCAAACTTTTATGGAAGGTGACACTCGCTAAGCAAAAATCTGAGGCACATTAGTTTTAGACAGTTTGTGTAAGAAGCAATTCATAAATCAGGAAATAGAAGACTGAAAGAATGCTCTGATGACAAAAGATCAAAATATTTACTGGGGAAATGTAGAAACAAAATAAAGGTATTTTTTAGAAAGTTCTAGATACATGATTGTTAGTTGGCTACTTATGAGTGGCTAAGGTTTTTTTTGTGTGTGGCATAAACATTTATCAAAAATGATCCAAGTTGTTTCATTTGTTTTTGCTATTATAAACTAAGGAAGGATTCGATAGTTTGCGATTCCAGCTATATTAAGGCTATTGTTTCCCCTTTGGTAGTACTGTTGACAGAATCCAGGGCCTTCACACTTAGCTGCTACATCCCCAGCCTTTTTTTTTTTTTTTTAATAAAAGACTGATAAAAGAAAGTAGATCCATTTTTACCATCAGTGATACAAGCTGCCTGATGGAATGGTCACACTTCTACTACTAGTGTTTCAAACAAGCAGGAACATATTAAAACACTACAGAGTGAGAAAAGGGATAGGAAAGGACTGTTTCCAAGAAACAGAAACACAGGCTGGGGATTTAGCTTAGTGGTTCCACTGCCTGCTTAGCAAGTGCAAGGTCCCAAGTTTGTTTACCATCAGTGATACAAGCTGCCTGATGGAATGGTCACACTTCTACTACTAGTGTTTCAAACAAGCAGGAACATATTAAAACACTACAGAGTGAGAAAAGGGATAGGAAAGGACTGTTTCCAAGAAACAGAAACACAGGCTGGGGATTTAGCTTAGTGGTTCCACTGCCTGCTTAGCAAGTGCAAGGTCCCAAGTTTGAACCCTGGTACCAAAAAAACAAAAAAAACAAAAAAACAAAACCTCGATTTGACTGGGACACAGATTGTGGGCAGTACAGTAAGAAACAAGACTGTGAATTCAGGTTGTGGCTAGATAATGTAAGGTTTTCAAAATCAGAAAAAGGACTTGGACTTTTTTTCAGTAAAAAATACGGAAGTTCTAATAATATAGATTGCAAGTGTGAAAGTCCAGAGATATTACAAAGGTTGAATAGACAGAATTTAATAACAGGAAACTAAATGGAGAGAAAATCAGAGATGAGGCTAAAAAGAGTTGAGGTAAAGGTGGTTAAGGATTTGAGAGCTTAAAGCTGAAGGATTCTCAGTATCTACACTGATTTGTTCATGTAATGAGAACTTCAAAAGCATAACATTTGACAGATACAAATTTTATTTTTCATGCTAAAATTTTTACAAATTTGACTTTGTCTTACACAATTACAAGAGTGACAGTTACAACTGAATTAAAAAATAGCTTTTGGAGGTATTTCTATTTATTTGTTATTATCATAAGCATATTTTTATATAAATAGCAATAATCAGAATTTCTCAATTAGTGAATTTAATAAATGAAGGTCACTATATAATACAAGCAAAAAATAAGTGCCAAATATATTTTCACATTCTACATTCCACAATTGTAATTGAGAATGAGAATGTAATAGTACAATTATTCAAATGTCTAATGAAGTGGGTTGCGTCAATTAACAAGCACCCCAAACCTTTTTTTTTTCCTTTTGGAGTTAAGGTCTTGCTGTGTACTCCAGGCTGACGCTGAACTTTATATGTAGTGCAGACTGGCCTCAAACTCATAATCTTCCTGCCTCAGCCTCCCAAGTGATGGGATTACAGGCAAGTGCCACCACTCCTGGCTCCAAATAATTTTCCAAAATCTTTTTTAGTTTAGTGTTAAAAGAAAATATAAGACAAAATACACAGACATGGCTTGCTGTTATGTTCACAACCAACCATTATATAATGAAGTTCTGTATCTTTTGCAACATAGTGTTCTACCTCATACAATAATTAAAAGATGAGTAATACTTAGAGCATTCAGAGTCACCCAACTACAGCTGATACAGCATCTCCCAGATTTCTAGTTTCAAAAATCCTGGAGGGAGGTGGGGCAATTTGAACTGTAACAGTCTACACGGTAGCAATATGAACTTTTGGGCCACTGGCCCAATACTAATCCTTTTTTTTTAGTGTACAAAATATGTTGAAAACATTTCTCTTAAATACATTTCAATTAATGTAATTAAACAGAAGGCAATATGGTCCTTCTAAGAAGTGTTAGATTTAGCTATGAAAAACTTGCCATATATCAGTTAAATTAATGTATGAGATTTTTAGGTCAAATATGACTATATTTATGTGATTCAATTTAGAGTCTGTGCTAAATATGTTTTAAAAAGAACTATAAACACAATCACTTTAATACTTTAAAAACATGGAAAGTATAATTTTTAATCCCTATAGTAACTTTATTTCACTTGATGTTACCCAAATTAAGAATTTTAAAAATCTAGTATGAAATTGGTTTTCTAAGCAAACACAGAAATACACACAAATAGAAATTCTAATTAAAAATTTCAGCTGACAAGTGAAAAGTTTTACTTTGATATTAGATCTGGTATACAGAAGTTAAATTTTTGATACAAGTACATAACAAATATATTTTGTTATAATGTAAAAATAACAATTTTAAAGAATGTTTAATGGTCTTTTTACCCCACCACCTCAAACGTATTTTTTCCTTAAAATAAAATAGCTTAAGACAAACATATCATTTAAAATCTGATCTTACAAAAAAGGTAAGAGAAGTGAAATGAATTATTCTTAGTAGTAGCTGCTTCCAGATATTATGAGCTAAAAGTCATCACCTGATGACATTATGGTAAGTAAACTTATACTTATGAACTAATAGCTTGAAATTCACTTCATACTGCATATCAAAGAAAATCATATTCAAAAATTTAAAAATAGCTTTAACAAGTATTTAATTGAAAGAACTTTCTTGAATAAGAAATAATTATTAGAATATTGATTATTCTAAGCACTTTAAAAACAATACAGGGGAAAGTCAGAAATATGCTGTCCAAAATAATAAGGCTTAGAACCACCAAGTATTCATTAGGCTAAAGTTTCAAATCTCCTAATACGTTACTTCTATTCTGTTTTGATACTCATCTTCTACCTTTGTTATTTTGCAGTCACTTCCAAATCACAAATTAGATCTGAAGTAATACTTTCTTCTAGTGAATTGAGAAAACCTTACCTTATTAGCCAAAGCACAAAAAAAGCATAGGAAAACTACACACAAATAAAACCAGTCATTTGATTGTTACATACCACAGTAAGGATGGTCACTTACCAACTTCAAGCAATTTATGTAATACCTGATAATTTCATACTTTTATTTCAAATCTCAAATCTCTATTGCTTATAATTTACTGACATTAATTTCTCTCTATTGAAATGATCTGAGTACTAAACTTAATGAAAACTTAAGCTATAGATTATATTGCAAAGTATTCTACAAATATTTGTTCATCTATCTGAAATATCTCAGATAGCAGCTCAAAGATATCAAAATCTGAATCCACCAGTGTTGTTCTGATGTCATTAACTATGTCAACTTTTCCTCTAAGTTTTAATCACACTAACCTGAGTCAGCAGGACTTTGCAGTGAATATTTTAAGTGATAGAACAGACCTGAGAGACAAAGGAATTAGCTGTGGCCCCCAATTAAAACTATTTACTAAATAATGTGATCTTAAGGCAAGTCCCTCAGTGTTGCAATACCTCTCCTGCTTCTAGAAGATGAGGATCCTATAAGCCATTCTTTGGGAAATTATGAAGAAAAACACACAGAAGAGCTCTAAAATGGCCAATCAGCTACATAAACAATACCAACATGCAGAGGATTGTTAAAGTGTTGAATTTTGTTAAAATGACCAGGCTATTAAGATGAAAGCATCCAGAAAAATGTTATAATATTGTTATGTCTCTGGATAAGATCTGATCTTAGTTATGAAAATAAATTAATACCTATCCCATTCCCATGTAGGAAATCACACTGGAAACCTAAGAAAAATTTAAAACTTCATTTAGTCTTTCCAGATTTTTTAATATGGTTGTACATTTACTGCTGCAAAATGTGTTTTTATAGTTTTATTAATTATAGTCTTTTGTTCTAGGTTTATTCTGGAAGTTATTTCTCTCTGAAAGTAGTCACAGACAATCTTTTGCTTCATTGGTCTTTAACTTGTTCTAAATTCTAGTTTTTTCCTCAAACTTTGTTGAAAGTAGATATAACAGAGTTTTCAATTTAAAGAGTGATAGAGAGACTTTAAGTTACTAAAGTGTTTCCTGTTTCTTCAGGAGATACTATGCATGTACTCTAGAAGGACATATAGGCCACAATGCACAGAAAAATCTTTTTAATTTACACTATGTAATCTGCCAAGGTTAAAATACAAAAAGCAGAAAAATAAGTATTGATTATCACATGAGGCTTATGTAAAGGATGATTTTGAAGAAATGAATGCCTATTTTGATGTAAATGGGACATGAAGAAAGGGTAGGAACCAAACAAAATTTCTTTAATGTTTTTGGATTTTCACATAGAGTCACAGAAATACTGCAACTCTAGTTTATAAACATGAAAATACGAAGGTGAGTGTTGGGAATGAAAAATAGATTTGAAAGCTCTACTGTAGATACTTGTAGATACGAGTGATTTTTTAAATCATAGGAACCCTAAATATATATAATTTAAATAGTGAAATAAAAGACAATGGGAAACAGGGAGATAGATCTTCTGCAAATGAGAAGAGGACCAAGAGATGGAGGGAGAGGAGAGTAAGAGAAAGTAAAAAGAATTAAGACGTGTTGCATGTATGTACCAACTTCCTACAGGAATGTAACCATTAAGTACTGTAAATATGTACTAACAAAAATTTAAAAAACTTTAAGTCACAGGTTTAGAAATTTTTTGAAAGGGACCTAAATCATTCATACATGTAGTTCATATCAAAATGAAGGAATGAGGGAAAATGAAATTTAAAAAATACAATCAATCAATATATCAGAGAAGTGTGTAGTTGCAAGAGGAATGGGAATAATCATAAAATATGGCAGAAGAAAGCTGAAAATAAATATTGGGTATGATTAGCATGTCCTAAAGCAGTGATGAGGATTTAATGGTAAGGATGAATGAATTAGCCATAGCTTAAGGAAAAATTAAGCAATTAAAAAAGAGCGCATTCCATTCATTTGCAATTTTTACTTGGGAAAATTTGGAAAAAACTGTATGAAAACTAGTAGGATACCTGAGTGTTTAAAGATCAGAATTAAATCATTAAAATTTACATTTTACAATTGAGAGAACAGGCTATGTTTTGACCCAAGTCAGGCACTTAGGGGTGGAGGAAGGGAGACCTGATTTCTGTCACCTGGGAACAGAAAGAAAGAAATTAACCTTGGCCCATTTTTTTTTGGGGGTGGTATCACACTCAGCTCCTATGCTTAGTAGTGCAAATGTACAAGGTTCTCAGAATTTCTTAAGTGAGAAGGCAAAAAGATCAACTGAAAAACAATGTTGAAAATATAAAACAGCAAAGTGGAGTAACTTACATTTGAGAATAATTTTAAATAAAATCAGAAGTAGAAACCTTTAAAAATTTAACTGCTAAAAGCATCATAGTTATATGATGTATAAAGAGATTAAATTTTTAAAAGCACAACATAGGTTTTGAAAAATATAGTCACCATGATGCAATAGTGGAAATTTTTGAATAATTTCTATCAAAAAATAATTTTCTCCTCTAAAACAGTCATAAAATTGATTATGTAACAGCTATGAAAAATGTCAAAACCAATTTTTAATATGAAAACAACATGAAAAAAGTGAACCATAAAAATATTTCGTTTCCAATCTATTTGATGCCAGGTCCAGCATAAAATGATAACCTATTCACAATCTGTTTCTGAATTTCATTTTCCTTTTTGTTTTTTTATGAACTACTTGCTTTAATTTTGAATCTGTACCACTTTGATATTATCATAGCTGTATAAAAGCCATGCAGTTTATTTACAATATTGTACATTAAAGGATTATGTTTTAAGATAACACAAAAATTTCACAGAATTTTAAGTATTATGGAAATATACATGAAACAAACATATATTTAGAGCTTTAAAACTTTTTCAGGTATGGAATTTTGTCAAGATTATTCTGGTTGTTAGGTTTTCTGCAATTAACAGCTTGAAATAAGACAAAAACATGCAAGTGAGAATTTCAACAAAGTAAAAGCTAAAAACACTTAGCTAGAAGCTAAAACATTACATAGTCGAAATACAATCCCACTATGTAATGCTGGGAATTCAAAAAACAGAAAAAAAAGCTGGTTTTCAAAAGTCTTCCATGAATAGGCTTTCGGTATAAAAACATTCATAAATTAAGTTAATCAGGCTATGTTTGTCATTACAGTTATGCTGAGCTATGGACTGAAGCTGTATCTTTTAAATTTATTATACTATCGGGGAAGTCTCAGTTTTTCCTTTGGGGGATGTAATGGGAAAAAAGAAAGCCAATCAGTAAATTTATATTCAAGTAAAAGATCCTGATACAAATACATTATTAACACAGAATGGAAAACTGCAATAATTTCAAGTCCACATACTTTAGATCAAACTCTTAAATCAGATGTGTAAACTTTAGGTTTATTCAATTTAAGATCTCCTGCTCAACAGTGCAGACAATATTTATAGGTATTTCATCTTTCTAGTTGCATCTCCTTCAATTTTTACTGTTGTGGCTGAAGGACATTTAGATATTCAGCCTGCCCCAACTGGTAAGTTGTGTTTCTTCCACAGTCCACATACTGGTACCTCTCCTGAGATATCTGTTCAGAATGGCCAAAGTAGGTTGTAGTGACAGTAACTCTAAAAATGAAATGAATGGACATAAATGTTTAATCCTTAAGTTTTTCTATAGTGAGAATACTTTTACACATAAAAATTCTCTCCAGGGAGAGATTATATGATTAATGATAACTTAATATTGAGGACATAGGCTTCTTAGGGGATAGTTCTTCATCACACAGAAAAATGCTAATTCAGTAAGGTCTCTCCAAATAATTATAAACAATAAATGTAATTTAAAAAGTATTAGTTTAAACATTTAAAAATCATCACAACTTAAAAATATATAATATACTTCCTTCATCATGAAAAGAGTTAATCAGATGTAAACTCTAATGGGCAAAATACTGTATTTTTAACAATCTTTTATTGACTTAGATAATACACACTTTATAAGCAAATTGCTTCTCCTTATTCTTAAGATTGCACTACTCTGAGCAACCATTTTCTAGTTTATTAAATGGGATAATATTACTCAATTTATAGCATTCTTATAGGGCTTAAAGACCAACTGAAGTAGCATTCACCAAAATGTTGTGTATATTATAAACCAATATTATAAATCTGAAATTTCAACATGAAATGTTTTTCAAAAAAATTAATACTTACTGCATCATGAGTACTATGTTATGTACTTTGATGGATATCAGTGTACAAAAATCACTGTTAAAGAAATGAAAATGGGAGTAAATACAAATTATTACAATACACATTTAAAATTCTTCTATGTTAAAGCTTATAGAGATTTTATAAGGAAGCATTTGTTGGCTGAGCATTTTCTATACTTGAACTAATGAATATATTCATGACTTCTTATTTTAAAAATATTTCTGTGTTCATATCACTGCAGATATAGAGTTGTTTTAAATTGTGCTACAAATTACTTTTATATCTTGCTTATCTTTTAAAATTTTGGCTACCACTGTGTTGGTTTACGAGAAATATTATACCAAAACTAGAAATAGGGCTGGGAATTTAGCTCAGTGGTTCAGCCGCCATCCTTGTAAGTGCAAGGTCTTGAGTTCGATCCCGGTGCCAAAAAAAAAGAAAAAAGAAAAAAGGCTAAAAATATAAATTTCATATACATATTTTGACAAAAGATGATGAAATATTTTTTTTTTTTTTTTGGTACTGGGGATTGAACTTGGGACCTTGTGCTTGTGAAGCAGGTGGTAGAACCACTGAGCAAAATCCCCAGCCCAAAAACTTGTAATTATTAAGAGCTAATAATTTAGAACCAATTTTAAAGCTTTAGAACTTCAAGTCAAAAGCCAGGTGTGGTGGTGCACGCCTGTAATCCCAGCACTTGGGAGGCTGAGGCAAGGGGATTGCTGTGAGTTCAAGACCAATCTGGGCTACATAGTGAGTTCCAGGTCAGTCTCAACTACACAGTAAGACCCTGACTCAAAAAACAAAAACAAGAAAACAAAAAAACAAAAACTTCAAGTCAATAATAAGGCATTACACATTATTAGCAGTTTTAGTCCTCCTACACTAAAAAAATCAAGAATGTAAGAATATATGCTTCTTGTTACACAGTAACTGAAAATGTGATATGGTATATTTAATCCTAATTCTGAAAAATAAGGAAAATTTTGATACATGAATCTAAATGATACAAATGTTTAGAAAGGGAAGAAAAAAAGCAGATCAGACGCCAGAATGAATATTCTAAACAGTGGTCTTTCTAACCAGTAAGACTGCTGCAAAAATTCAAAATGGGAAAAAAATTCTTTATACATTATTATTTAATGATAAAGTTAATAAAATCAGAACTTACAACATATAACTCATTTCCTCTGCTATAACCGTAGGTACTGTATAATCAATCTGAAATGTAAAAAAAAGTTACAGAATCAAAACATCAAATATTTCAGCTGTACCTCAAAATTTCAAAGAAATGGAAATCTTCCCTTTTAGAATCTTGATTCTAAGATTTCATCTTATACACACATCAGCCATATTTCAAAATCAAGTTCTGAGAAAACTTTAATAACTTCCTCACCTTATATGATATTCAAAGTTGAAATCTGTTTAACTCATCTGAAGCATTTCACAACAGACCTACCTGTTTCATATCGAGTGGACCAATATTAGTTATGTTGTTTAAGCGGGCCTTTCCAATAACTGTTTTTGAAAACTGAACTTGAGCAGTGATGTTTTCAACTTCAACAGAATAGTAGTTATTGTTTGTTATATTTAGTGTATTCTGCAAGAGAAAGAAGACAGGAAATGTGCAAGTTATCTATAAGATACAAATATATTGTATATTCAAGTTAATAAAATTACTTCAGCTGTGGCTGTTTCATTTATTAGGATGAAAAATATTGCCAAAAATGTCAAAGAGCATTAAATAAACTGATAATCTGGTCTTATGAATTAGTGCCATGATTAAAAGAAACAATTCTGCAGGCTGCCAGCATCAGAAAGCTGAGTGTCGCCCCGCCCAGGGCCGGTACAGCTTGGCCTTCCCGCTTGAACGGGTGATGGTGGCCTCTGGAAGTGCGAGAGAGCCATTGCTTGTCTTGAGTCTCCCACTAGGTGGTCTGCATGACCCGTGGCAATTAACAAGAACTTGCCCACCAAAAGAATATGAAGAAAACTCAAGAAATCAGAAAGGGAAAAAGAAAAGAGAATAGCTTGACTACTTCTCAAAGAAAGCAGAGGTACTCTGAAATCAGGCAACAAAATAAGGCAGCTAATGAGAAGTCTATGCAAACAGGAGAAAAATAATGCCCAGCTCTAGGAAACATGGGTGATACTACCAACTGGTAATCATAGGCTCCAACATTAGGATTCCATAGAGCAAACAAGCATTACATGTGTTATAACCCATCCTCATAAAACTGTTTACCTCAAACTTTGTTTTTTAGCCTTAGTGTGATGTTTTTAAAATGTTCTTCAAAGAATAAAATGCTATGCATGTGACACTGATGGATACTATTTTTATCAGCAAGTAAACATTTCTATAATTACATAGGTAAAGTCGTCAGAAAGTAGGATCTCATGTAGAATCTAGACTCTAGTCTAGAATCTTGTCATCAGTTTTGTTAAAGTGGACCTTCAAAGTAAATTTTATTACACAGGGCCAGTGCTGCAGCTCAGTGGTAGTTGGTTGCCTGGCATATACAAGGCCATGGAATGAAATCCAGCACCACCAAGAAAAATGTGTAATAAAATTTAAGATACCTTTGTGTAATTTTGAAAAGAAAAAGAAAAAAAAACACAATTCAAAGTTAAAGATAGGCTCAAAATATACAGTGCAGGAATAAAATAATGAATATTAGCCAATATATTTATGACTTAGTCAATAAAAGTTCAACATAAATATAAAAATTTTGGGCTGGGTATTTAGCTCAGTGGTTTCACCGCCTGTCACGCAAGCACAAGGACCCAGGTTTGATCCCTGGTACCAAAATAAATAAACAAACAAACAAATAAATAATAAAATAAAACATTCATCTAATTTTTTACTAACCGGATTCTCTCAATAGACACACACACACACACACACACACACACACACACACAACCTTTGACAAAATCCAACATCCATTTATGACAAAAACCCTGAAGAAAATAGGTAGAGAAGGACCTTATCTCAATCTGATAAAAGCCATTCATGACAAACCAATGGCTAATATCATAGTAAATGGGGGAAAAAATGAAAGCTTTCCCCCTAAAATCAGGAACTAGACAAGGATGTCTGATATTACCACTCCTATTCAATACAGTTCTCAAAAGTCATTAATCAGAGCAACTAGGCAAGAGAAAGAAAAAGGATTATCTATAGGAAGTGAAGAAACTGAAGTATCCTTATTTGCAGATGACAAGTTCCTCTATATACAAGACCTAAAATCTTCCACCAAACGACTCTAAGAATTAACCCAATTTAGTAGTGTAGCAGGATATGAAATCTACATGTAAAAACCAATAGCATTCCTCCTACTAATGGGCTTATTGAGAAAAAAAATTAGGAAAACAATACCATCCATAATAGCATCACGAAAAATTAAATACTTGGGAATAAATTGAACTAAGAAAGTGAAGGATCTCTACCTCAAAAATTACATCACTCTGGAAAAGGACATTGAATCGCTTCTCGGCCTTTTGGCTAAGATCAAGTGAAAAAGGACATTGAAGAGGACATCAAAAAATGGAAGGTTATCTTGTTCCATTTGGCAGAACCAGCACATTTGAATTGGCTACAATGTATGTACAACACAGTATATATATATTTAATACAGTACCAATAAAAATACAAAGAGCAATACTCACAGAATTACAGAAAACAATCTTGAAATTCATACTGAATGAGAATAGTAAAAACAATGACACTGGGCAATAAAAGTAAAGCAAGAGGTATCACAATCCCAGATGTGAAGGTGCACTAAAAGCTACAGTGGTAAAAACAGCATGGGGCTGGCACAAAAACAGACATGTGGATCAATGGAACAGAACAGAAGGAGCAGAAACAACCCAGAACCATATATATTGGAGGAAAGAAAACCTCTTTAATAAATGGTGCTGGGAAAAGTAGATATCCACAAGTAGAAGACTGAGTCTAGATCCATATATCTCATTATGTTCTGAACTAATCAAAATAGATCAAAGATCTAAATGTTAAATAGAAACATTTAATCTGGTAGAAGATAAAATAGTTAAAACTCTTGAAGACATGGTATAGACAAGGACTATCTGAACAAAACCCCAAAGGCAAAAGAAATAGTACTAATAATCAACAAATGGGATCATATAAATTAAAAAGTTTTTGCACAGAAATAAAAACACCAGAGTAAACAAAATTCCTTGGACAAGACGAATATCTGGAACACATAAAGAATGCCAAAAAACTAGAACACCCAAATAATAAAAGACTCAATGAAAAATGGGCTAGTAAAAGGAACAGTTACTTCTCAGAAGTGCAAATAAATACATGAAAAAATATTCAACATCTCTGACCATTAGAGAAATACAAATTAAGGCAACACCGAGATTCCATCTTATTCAATAAACAGTGGCTACCATCAATATATCAAATAATAACAAATGCTGGCAAGACTGCAGGGGAAAAGGAGCCCTTCTACATTGTTGGTAAGAATGTCACCCAGTACAACCACTATAGAAATTAGTATAGAGATTCTTCAAAAACATGAAAATAGAAACTTCATTTGATCCACCTACAAAGTCATCATATTAAAGTGATACATACACACTATGTTTATAGCAGCACAATTTATAAAAGCTATATATTGAAATGTCCTTTATGTTTGTCAATACATGAATGGATAAAAGAAATATAGTATTTATCCACAATGGAGTACTACTGTGCCATAAATAAGGATAAATGATGCATTCACAGGAAAATGGATGCACCTTCAGACCATAATAGTAAGTGAAATAAATGAGACATAAAAGCTTAATTATTGCACAGTTTCTTTTACATGAGTAACTCAAAATATAAATAAAGAACAAAATAATAAGTAAATTACAGAAAGTAGGGAGATCTTTTTCAAAAGGGAAGGGTACCAAGAGATGAAAGGAGCAGGGAGAGAAGGATCAGGGGACAAATTAAGATGTGTTATTTACATGTGCCAACACAATAAATGCAATCATTGTGTAATGTAAACACGTAGTAATAAAAATAAATACAAATAAAAAGTAACTATTTTAAAAAGTTTTAACATATAAATGTATCTCTATAAATATGAATATAGAGAAAGATACAAGAGATTCAATATGGGACAAGTACTGAAAAAAATTTTAGTAAAAAAGAATGTACTAGAGAGATGCAATCATGATTACATGTATATATTCATTTATAATTATAAACATAAAGACATTTTAAAAAATTCTATGCTACAGAAAAAAATCATTTGTGTTTGTTGTTGTTGTTTTTGTTTTTGTTTTTGTCTTCATACTGGGGATTAAATGCAGATCCTTGTACTTGCAAGGCAGGCAGCAGAACCACTAAGCTAAATCCCCAGCCCTGAAATAATCTTTATTTAGAATATATTTTACTTATTAGAATGTTAATCATCTTGATTTTATTTCTAGATACAATAGGAAAATGGTTAACAATTTGAGATAAATGGATCTTTCAATGCAGACCAAAGCATTGGGTTTAGGGGAATCTTGAAACCCTCTCAAACACAAAAGAATGTTGGCTCACAGCTTTTAAAAGAAATCATCCATAATTTTCATTAGAATATCAAAGGGAACAATGATGCACAACAGACTGAGAAAAAATACTTATGAGAATTAGAAAAAAATATATTGAGATTAAAAAATTATGATAAACATTAACAAAAATTGAAAAAATAAGACAGGAAAAAGTAAATTTAGTACTAAAGAATTGTCTTTTGTTGCAGAAACCAGTGAGAGTCCATTTACTTTATAAATAAAAAAGGGACCAGAATCATAAGCTTTAAAATGATTTATCAAAGGCCTTAAACTGTCTACGATCTTGAATAGACAAATTTACTTTCAAAATTGAGTTTCCATACTTAGTTTATTTTCATTAGATCATACCCCCTTTGTGATCAGTCAGTCATATATGCTTCCATCATGTTTTTGCAATAAAGTCTGCATGAAAGTCTGCAAGAACAGAGTTCAGGGTGCTACTGAACAGATAGGAAGGTAAATAAGAACTCATCCAAATACCTGGGGGTGGTAGATCCCGACTCCAGGGGACAGATGTCTCTGTGCTCTCCCCCCACACCCCGACTTCACCCTATTTCATCTTGCTATTTTACATTGTTATTGGTTTGTTTTTGAGATAGGGTTTTACTAAGTTGCCTAAGCTGGCCTAGAACTCAAAATTCTTTTGCCTTACCTTCTCAAGTAGCTGGAATTACATATACATGGCACAATGTGCAGCTATTTGCATCTTTTTAAACATCCTTCATAATTCAATAAATTTAAGTATACTGTTTTCCTGAATTCTGTGAGCTGCTCCAGAAAATTAATTACATCTAAGAAAGAGGGTGTAGAATCCTAATTGGTATTTTCTCAGCTTGGACTTTCCCTCAACTGAAATGAAATGGGGCAGTCTGGTGGGACCAAACCTTCAATTTATAAGATACGATGTTATCTCCAGGAATAATATCAGAAACAAATTGAATTAGCAGACCTCTAGCTGGTGTCCCTTACAGAACCAACTGCCTGTTTGTTGCTGGGGAGAAATCCTCATATTGGATTCTGTGGGAT